ATTACTGAAAGCAAATAAGGATGTCTTAAAGGCTGTTTCAGCTTAAGGTTCCCAGTAAAATCAAAATATAGAGGGCTAAAAGGAACTCAATGTTGTCTTGTAGTGAGATATTATTGAAAACATTTTCAAATAAGACTTGTAAAGAAGAAAGGAATCGATGTAAAAATGTCACAAAGACGAAATAATGACTAAGGACGGAAATAATGTTTGAAGAAGAATAAATACCTTTTCGTTGAAGCAATCTATAAGGTCAGAAATGTAAGAACTGAGCTCTTGAAAATACGAGGCCTTTTCGGCGAATTCTGGTAATTTCTCGCGAGATTTTTTGATGACGCCTTGACCTCGAAGAAGGTCAATACGAGCTTCTTCAAGAGCTTCTTGGTTTCTTGTTAGTGACTCCATAATGCGATCATACCTGACAATAAAATAAGAGTACAAAAAAGAACCAATATACTAAAATATGAAAGAAAGTTAATCCTCTCGGGGAAGGTAAGCAGAAAATAATGTTAGCTTATAACCTAGGTAGTTATGGAATGTTAAATGAGAGCAAGAATAAACTCATATATATATATATATATATATCAAATCACTTAATGAATAAATATATAGGAAATATCTAGATAAAACAGATAAAACCCAACAGTTAGTCAAAATATAATTTAAAGAGGATAGATCGTATAACCTTCCATTGTATATGAGCCAATATAAATTAATCGAAGTAGGGAATCATATGAATGCTCAGAGTTCGTGTATAAAATTTGGCGATTAGAATAAAGGTGCAAGGAGAACGAGAATCAGCTAATGCTAGATCGCATAGTCTCGCTAAACTGAGGCAGCAAGATTATGTCTAAGCAGATTAATCTCCAGAGAAAAGAAAACCTTAAAGCGGGGCAAGTATGGTCCCAAAACTAAATCCGATATTTAACCAATAAAATTTATCGATTTATAGATACTCAATTAATGAAAAAAGCAAGCATAATTGATTAAATGAAAGTAGGTGAGAATTTGGACAAAATTATAAGGAAAAAGAAAGTAAAATTATGAGTAAGGGAATCGATTAGTGGTGAAAATCTAAGAAGCCAATAGCTAAACAAATAGTACCTTCTAAGGCATGCCCAATAAAAAACAATATTAGGGTCCAAATGAAAATAGGCAGGCAAATTAAACAAATATTTTACGCAAATTGTTATGGAAAAGAATACATTTGAATTCCCTAATGTAAGGCAAGCATAAGATGCTTTGCAATGAAATAAATATTGACACTTGATTCAAATAGGCTATCGATTAGAATTCGTATTAATATATATAATAAACGCACTATTTTCTACCCAAGCATTTGCTAGTTAAGACAAAGCCAGTATTACGGGTTAATTAATGAGCAAAATTAGAAACAGAATAAAAATGAAACCATATACAAATTAGTTATTTACTTAATTCGAAGCATGCTCTTAAGGCTAGTTATGGTTATGGCCTCAGGTGTGTCACAGGCTTCATAATACAGATTCGAAAACGCACTCCTATCGCCTGTGAATTTTGAATGTTCGTTTGTGTTCGAAGAGCAGGGTTGTATCGCCTCCATGGCAGCGGAATTCTATAAAGGAATGTAGCTGATTAAGACAAAATGAGGGCGCAAAAATTAACTTGATTCATGATAGTAACCTGAACAAGCATGGCTTTTTGTAGTTGTTGACGTTCCCACTCTGCTTCCTCATCACTGTCACGATCACTAGCATGTTCGGCAGCAAGAAAATCCGCACGATATGCGTCCAATTCAGCAGCTCGACAGCCCTGTGGAAGACGAGTGATAATCCCAGGTTTGTTTGAAGGCACTAAACCCGGTTGTACATGGAAAGCACGAGGCCGTGAGGCGGCAGCAGAAGAGTTTTTCTCAGGAATTGCATTAGTTAATTTTCGAAAGGTGTGACGGCCAATGATATCATCATCAACCAATTCGTCTGGATGATCGCGAGCACTTTCACCCATCCCATCATCCTCCATAAAGTCGTCCTCTTCTTCTCTGCGTAAATGTACAATGAGATGGAATATAGAAGTAAAATGTTAAGGACCAATTAATATCATAGGTACTTTGAACGTAATATATGTTTTATATAAACCAGTTGGAAGGAAAAATTAATACACCTTATCATACGACTACCAGGCTTTTCAAAGTTTTCAGAGCCTCCTGCGACTAACAGAGATTTAGCTCGTTCCCGTTGTTTTCTTGCAAAGTGAATAGCCGCAGCGTCAGGAATTACGCCCTCTAAAAACTAAGTTTGTTTAATACTAAGGTTACTTTTTAGCATTTGAGAAATCGAAGTTGAACCCTTCTGGGCAAGCACCTTATCCGCCCTTTCTGCATCTTCGCCATTAAGACATATAGCCTGATGTTTGGTGCCCTAGGGTCTGGGTATAATCGAAACCGTACCTTTCTTTCAAAAAGTGTTTTTTCCCCTTTTGTATCCGTAATTACATCTATTTTTTTCAGTGTGAGCTCGGGAATGAGGGACAGGCTGGGACTGGCACGCTTGTCGTCGGTAGGCTTTTTCTTTTCTTTGGAATGCTTAGTACTTTTTCTGCTTTGCGAAGATTTTTTTACTTTAAACTCTACACCCTCATCTAAGAAAAAATAAGGCAAGTCTGGTTTACCTGCTTCCAAATCATCCTCAAAGCTAAGAACACTACGGCTTTTCTTGATAGTTGTTGGCTCCTTGGCAGGCTGCAGCTGGTCAGCTAATGCAATATTATTTTGTTCTCCTTCATTGGCTTTCTCATCGTCAGAATCACCCTTTTTATTTCTATAATTTCTACTCGGCCTTTTGAAATAAATATCGCCCATAGGGGTCAGCCGAAGAGCGATTGACAACAAAATGCCCGCCGAAGGATGACTACGCAAAAGTTTATACCTCTTAAGATTTATTTAGCTTTTAAAATTTTAAATATTATTAATTTATGTTTTGATTGTCTTTGGCATTTTTATCAATCTCTGATGAGCCTGGAAGATTGCGGTACTTGCGTCTCATAGTTTGTCGTATATCTTGAATGTACCATGTTTATCTCACTTCTTAACAATATATTTATTAGCACTCAGAAAAATATATTATTAACTTGTCTTGTTAGTTCGACTGTTGCTTGGAATTTTTTTCCGACCTCCATCTTTATCCCAACCACATGATTCGCACTAAATTCTTTCAATCCCGGTTTTAGATTCAGATTC